ATTCTGCTTGATTCTCCTTCACGTAGTTAAAATGTCGCCCCCTGAGTGCTATTTTTATTTTGGAAAGAGAAAGAAGTTACAGCTTAGATCTTGGGAGTTTGGAGATGAGGAACTACCACCATATTGTTATTGGCCAGAAAACGATGGTCTTTCTGGTCTTGAGTTAGCAAGAATGGCACATATTTCGCAGCCATTCGACACAAGTTTAAATTTTCAGTCAAAATGCTTAGACACGATCCTTCAAAAAATTCCACAGTACTTGCAATGTCCTGAATACTGTGACGATGATCCTTGTGAATAGCTTTCCTTATTTTTTTCAATGCTGGTGTTTGTTTTTGAATTTGATGCACGACTAAAGTGTTCATAATCTTCAACTGATGTTCGTCTTGTCTTCAATCGAGAAACACATTCTAAACACTGTGTCCGACTTATTGCTTCGTCGCCATATACTCTCTGGAGCATTTTTGTGAATTTCGCCAGTTGTTTTATCTAGCTTGAAATAGAATTTCACACGCACACACACACATACACACACACATACACACACATGCACACACACACACACACACACACACACACACACACACACACACACACACACACACACACATACATATGCACACACACACATACACATACAAACACACACACATACACACACACACACACACACACACACACACACACACCACACACCACACAACACACACACACACACACACACACACACACACAATGTGCAAGGAGGCTGAGGAGAGGTTTGTACCCAAGGGTAACAGGAATAATGAAAAAGCCAGGATGAGCCCATGGTTCACCCAAAGGTGCAGGGAGGCAAAAACCAAGTGTGCTAGGGAATGGAAGAAATACAGAAGGCAAAGGACCCAGGAGAATAAAGAGAGCAGTCGTAGAGCCAGAAATGAATATGCACAGATAAGAAGGGAGGCCCAAAGACAATATGAAAACGACATAGCAGCGAAAGCCAAATCTGACCCGAAGCTGTTTTACAGCCACATCAGGAGGAAAGCAACAGTCAAGGACCAGGTAATCAGGCTAAGGAAGGAAGGAGGAGAGACAACAAGAAATGACCGTGAAGTATGTGAGGAACTCAACAAGAGATTCAAAGAAGTGTTCACAGAGGAGACAGAAGGGGCTCCAGAAAGACGGAGAGGTGGGGCACACCACCAAGTGCTGGACACAGTACACACAGCCGAGGAAGAAGTGAAGAGGCTTCTGAGTGAGATAGATACCTCAAAGGCAATGGGGCCGGATAACATCTCTCCATGGGTCCTGAGAGAGGGAGCAGAGGCGCTATGTGTACCCCTAACAACAATATTCAATACATCTATCGAAACAGGGAGATTGCCTGAGGCATGGAAGACAGCAATGTAGTCCCAATCTTTAAAAAAGGAGACAGACATGAAGCACTAAACTACAGACAAGTGTCACTGACATGTATAGTATGCAAAGTCATAGAGAAGATTATCAGGAGAAGAGTGGTGGAACACCTAGAAAGGAATGATCTCATCAACAGCAGCGAACATGGTTTCAAGGACGGGAAATCCTGTGTCACAAACCTACTGGAGTTCTATGACATGGTGAGAGCAGTAAGACAGGAGAGAGAGAGGGGTGGGTGGATTGTGTTTTCTTGGACCGCAAGAAGGCGTTTGACACAGTTCCACACAAGAGATCAGTGCAAAAACTGGAGGACCAAGCAGGGATAACAGGGAAGGCACTACAATGGATCAGGGAATACTTGTCAGTAAGACAGCAGCGAGTCATGGTACGTGGCGAGGTGTCAGAGTAGGCACCTGTGACCAGCGGGGTCCCACGGGGGTCAGTCCTAGGACCAGTTCTGTTTCTGGTATTTGTGAACGACATGACGGAAGGAATAGACTCTGAGGTGTCCCTGTTTGCAGATGACGTGAAGTTGATGAGAAGAATTCATTCGATCGAAGACCAGGCAGAACTACAAAGGGATCTGGACAGGCTGCAGACCTGGTCCAGCAATTGGTTCCTGGAGTTCAACCCCACCAAGTGCAAAGTCATGAAGATTGGGGAAGGGCAAAGAAGACCGCAGACGGAGTACAGTCTAGGGGGCCAGAGACTACAAACCTCACTCTAGGAAAAATATCTTGGGATGAGTATAACGCCAAGCACATCTCCTGAGGCGCACATCAACCAAATAACTGCTGCAGCATATGGGCGCCTAGCAAACCTCAGAACAGCATTCTGACATCTTAATAAGGAATCGTTCAAGACCCTGTACACCGTGTACGTTAGGCCCATATTGGAGTATGCGGCACCAGTTTGGGACCCACACCTAGACAAGCATGTAAAGAAACTAGAGAAAGTGCAAAGGTTTGCAACAAGACTAGTCCCAAAACTAAGGGGTATGTCCTACGAAGAGAGGTTAAGGGAAATCGACCTGACGACACTGGAGGACAGGAGAGATAGGGGGACATGATAACGACATACAAAATACTGAGAGGAATTGACAAGGTGGACAAAGACAGGATGTTCCAGAGATTGGACACAGCAACAAGGGGACACAGTTGGAAGTTGAAGATATAGATGAATCACAGGGATGTTAGGAAGTATTTCTTCAGCCACAGAGTAGTCAGGAAGTGGAATAGTCTGGGAAGCGATGTAGTGGAGGTAGGATGCACACATAGCTTTAAGCAGAGGTATGATAAAGCTCTCGGTTCAGGGAGAGTGACCCAGTAGCGACCAGTGAAGAGGCGGGGCCAGGAGCTAGGACTCGACCCCTGCAACCTCATCTAGGTGAGTACACACACACACGCACACACACACACACACACACACGCACACACACACACGCACACACACACGCACACACACACACACACACACACACACACACACACACACACACACACACACACACACACACACACACACGCAGTTCTTTTAAAAATTCCCTTCCGTTACACAAACAGTTGCAACAACGCGCTAACAAAACAAATAAATGCCTGTTTAACCATAATGGAATGACCGACCGCACTGAAACTCGCCACAATGATGTGTACTGCACAACGTGATACACACCGGTACCATATTTCATACAGGAAGAAAGGAAAATCTCGAGTCCAGGAATGTTTTGATAAAACCTCGTGATATATATATATATATATATTATAATATATATATATATATATAATATATATATATATATATATATATATACTTCCCGGTAAAAGTAGATCTTAGACAGGGATGTGTAATGTCACCATGGTTGTTTAATATATTTATAGATGGGGTTGTAAAATAAGTAAATGCTAGGGTGTTCGGGAGAGGGGTGGGATTAAATTATGGGGAATCAAATTCAAAATGGGAATTGACACAGTTACTTTTTGCTGATGATACTGTGCTTATGGGAGATTCTAAAGAAAAATTGCAAAGGTTAGTGGATGAGTTTGGGAATGTGTGTAAAGGTAGAAAGTTGAAAGTGAACATAGAAAAGAGTAAGGTGATGAGGGTATCAAATGATTTAAAGAAAAATTGGATATCAAATTGGGGAGGAGGAGTATGGAAGAAGTGATTGTTTTCAGATACTTGGGAGTTGAGTGTCAGCGGATTAATTTATGAAGGATGAGGTTAATCATAGAATTGATGAGGAAAAAAGGTGAGTGGTGCGTTGAGGTATATGTGGAGTCAAAAAACGTTATCTATGGAGGCAAAGAAGGGAATGTATGAAAGTATAGTAGTACCAACACTCTTATATGGATGTGAAGCTTGGGTGGTAAATGCAGCAGCGAGGAGACGGTTGGAGGCAGTGGAGATGTCCTGTCTAAGGGCAATGTGTGGTGTAAATTTATGCAGAAAATTCGGAGTGTGGAAATTAGGAGAAGGTGTGGAGTTAATAAAAGCATTAGTCAGAGGGCAGAAGAGGGGTTGTTGAGGTGGTTTGGTCATTTAGAGAGAATGGATCAAAGTAGAATGACATGGAAAGCATATAAATCTATAGGGGAAGGAAAGGTGATAGGGGTCGTCCTCGAAAGGGTTGGAAAGAGGGGGTAAAGGAGGTTTTGTGGGCGAGGGCTTGGACTTCCAGCAAGCGTGCATGAGCGTGTTAGAAAGGAGTGAATGGAGACGAATGATACTTGGGACCTGACGATCTGTTGGAGTGTGAGCAGGGTAATATTTAGTGAAGGGATTCAGGGAAACCGGTTATTTTCATATAGTCGGACTTGGAGTCCTGGAAATGGGAAGTACAATGCCTGCACTTTAAAGGAGGGGTTTGGGATATTGGCAGTTTGGAGGGGTATGTTGTGTATCTTTATACGTATATGCTTCTAAACTGTTGTATTCTGAGCACCTCTGCAAAAGCAGTGATAATGTGTGAGTGTGGTGAAAGTGTTGAATGATGATGAAAGTATTTTCTTTTTGGGGATTTTCTTTCTTTTTTGGGTCACCCTGCCTCGGTGGGAGACGACCGACTTGTTGAAAAAAAAAACATATATATTATACAATTTTGGTGTAGATCAATTTTTTGGGCCTATATTTTCAATTTTGGGATTTTTCAAAATTGTCTCAAAAATTTAATACTACCTTCTTTTAAAAATGTATTTATTCCATTTAGGAAGAGTTAGAGAGGTTTAAAGAGAGATGGAGGTGTCTAACGAAGGAGGAGTTTAGAAAGAGAGGGTCGAGCTGGTAGAGAGATGGAGTTGTTTAAAGATAAAGGAATTTAGAAAGAGATGAAATTGGTTAGAGGGAGATGGCTGTCTTTAGAGAGACTGATGTGTGTAAAGAGAGGTGGATGAAGTTAAATAAATGTAAAGGCATCTAGGGAGAGATGACGGTGTTTAGCAAGAGACAGCGTTATTTAGAGAAAGATGGAGAAATTTACCGAGACATAGAGTTGTTCAGAAGAGATTGGTATGTTTAGAAGATGTAGAAAGTTAGACTGAGTTATTGGAGGTTAGAGAGAGAGATGGAGGCGATGATGGAGGTAACTGATGTTTGTCTGTTGTGTACAGGAAGTCAGTTGTTGGTGAGTTTGTGTCTGACTGACCTCAACTTTACCAGAGACCTGACCAACAACAACACTCAACTATACTTCAACACCTCACGCACCTTAATGGCCACGGTGAGTACTTCATCCTCGCTCTCCAGTTCTTCTTTTTCTTCTGCTGCTGCTGTTGCTGGCTCTCCAACTGACTGCCTTTTCCGTCTTCTCTTATATATCTTCATTATTATTATTATTATCAAAAAGAAGCGCTAAGCCACAAGGGCTATACAGCATATATATCTCCATGCAACCTTCACATGCACCCTCTCCATCTGGTTGTCTTGTGGGAGATTTGTCTGTTATTAATGCAGTTGCTGGATAGTTAGATGACCACTACTTGGGCCACTACTTTGTATTACTGGAATGCAATGTGACCCACTCTATAATTGATCTTGAAAGGACTTAAGTACAGAATTCAGCTGAGTTCTTCCGTCGCTCTGGTCCACCCTGATCACCCCTCAGACGGTCGACTTTATTTAAATGTTAAGAGGGAATCTAGTTTCCTCTCGTGATCTGTCATTTTATTTACTCAGTTACGAGCTTAATGACTGTATACCGAGGGACGGCATATAGTGATTATTTCACTGGAATTGCTCAGGATCAGTTGGAAAATTATTAAACCTTATTACCATCTCAATAAAGCATCACAAAATGATATTCCCATTATTACAGTGAGTGTATGTGGTTCGATCGCAGGCACAGGTGAAAGCGTTGGGCATGTTTCCTTACATCTTCTGCCCCTGTTCACCTAGCAGTAAGTAGGTACCTGGGTGTTAGACGACTGTTGTGGGTTGCGTCCTGGAAGCTTTGAAATGAACTGAAGTAGATAACAGGTCTTAGTGACGACTCTCTACCTAATTACTCCCAGGTACCGTCGTAACCCCAACTCATAGCCTAGGTGTTAATATATGGCAAAGAAAGAGAAAGAGAGAGAGAGAGGATTACCTTCCTGGAAAGTGAAGACAAATAGTGTAGGTGGTGGTTGAGTGTCGATCATGGCGTCTTAGCTGGAGTCTCTAAGGAGACTACATACCTGGAGTATACCTGGAGGGTGTTCCAAGGATCAACGCCCCCAAGGCCCTGTCCATGACCAGGCCTCACGGTGGATCAGGGGCTGATCAACCAGACTGTTACTCCTGGCCGCACGGAAACCGATGTATGAACTTAAAGACAAGGGTCAATTGGTAATCCTCTTACGTATGCTGGGAGGCAGTTGAAAAGTCTTGGGTCCCTGACACTTACTCTGTTGTCTCCTAGCGTATGGGCTCTGGGGGCGTTGACCCCCGAAACCCCTCCAGGGATACTCATAGCGCCCCTGCTTTACATTGGGGATATGTTGTACTGCCTGCCGAGGGTTTAGCTTTCGTAGGGAGTGATTTCCGAGTGCAGATTTGGGACTAGTCCCTCTTGGATTTTTCAAGTATACATTATCATGCATCTTTCTCGCCTGCTTTGCAAGGAGTACAGGTCAAGGGACTTTAACCGTTCCCAGTAATTTAATTGCTTTATGGTACTTATACGTACAGTGAAAGTATAATAATACTAATAATAATATCTTTATTTATTACAAGTACATGTACAAGGTATACAGTCCCAGCTGACATAAATGACATACTGCTATATAGAAAGCCGCTTGTTATGCTCAGCATTTCGGGCAAAGTAGGTCAGTTTTGTCCCAGGATGCGACCCACACCAGTCGACTAACGCCCAGGTACCCATGTGCAACATCTGAGTATCTTTATTGTAGACGTTTCGCCATCCAGTGGCTTTATTAACACAAATTCCAGGACATAACTGAAGACAGAAGAACTATACATAAAAGATGAGGTAATCAGTCCCTCAGTCTGAGGGACTGATTACCTCATCTTCTGTATATAGTTTTAATGACTTCAGTTATGTCCTGGAGTTTGTATTAATAAAGCCACTGGATGGCGAAACGTCTACAATAAAGATACCCAGATGTTGCACATGTTTTAATTCCATCTTGCCGGTATTGTATACCATTCTTGTACAACCAAGGTACTCATTTTGTTGGTTTAGAAAGACACGTAAGCAAACACTATGACATATTTATTAGAAAACGTTTCGGTCCTGGGACCTTGATCACTCTAACATACGGGGTAGAAAACAAAAATAAATTAGGCGGAGAGGAATGTGACGCACGGACCTGGAATGCAAAAGAACATAAGAATATAAAATGGACAACACTACTGGCCACTGGCCCTGAAGCGGGTCCTTATAAAACAACCTCTCCCTAGGGGGGACGGGTAGACGATGAAATCTGTGATCCTGTGTTTTTGGGGTTTGGGGTGGTGCTTAAGTATCGTATCCCCAAAGTTTTTGAAATTTTGTAGTTTCCAGTTTTTGCGTTCTATAGTGTCGTTGACGACGATTAGTGAGGCTTCTGGGCACCGTCGCGTCTGAGGTCGGTTCGGTGAGAACGAGTTGGCCTCATTCCTTCATCAAATGCCCCAGGGATCTCTGTGGAAGACACTGGCGTCCCTTACACGTCTCTGTTAGAGGCATTTCGATGCCATTCGGGCGGACTGCAAGATCTCGCCTTCTCGCCTACATATTTTTTGGGACGAACCCACACGGGATAGTGTAGACGCCTGCGTAGAAGTTAGAGGTGGGGGGCTGCTTTTCCGTATGAGGTCTTTTGATAGATGATTGTTTATGGTGAAACGTTGATTTTACCAAGCAAGTCCCGGCGAGTATTCGGGGCAACACCCCACGGGGAGTCTATGAACTGCTTGGGGGGCGTTCCATGGGGGTTGGGGGGGGTTTTCGTTCGGTTTTTTTTAACCCCGGGGGTTAGCCACCCGATCCCCCAAGAAAGTCAGTGCTCATCGGGACGTCTAACTTTTTTTCCATTGGGGCCCTTTAATCTTTCCCCCGGGTGCGACCCAAAAACCAGTCACAACACCCAGGTACCTTTTTGCTGCTTGGTAAACAGGACAACGGGTTAAGGAAACGGTCGAAATGTTTCCAAACCCCCCGGGGAATCGAACCCGGCCCCCGTGTGGAAGCGGGAGCTTTTAGCCACCGGGCCCACCGGGTTTTTGGGGATACATTCATAGATCCCTGGGGGGATGTTGCCACAATACTCCCCGGGGCATTTTCTAGAGTAACATCAACTTTCCACCATAAACACTCATCTACAAAGACCTCACTACAAAAACGCACCCCCCAAACCTCAACTTCAAAAAGCAGGCGTCTACACTATACCGGTGGGTTCTGTCCCAAGAAATATGTGGCGAGACGCAGAGATCTTGCAGCCGCCTGAATGGCACGAAATGCTCAAACAGAGACGACGTCCACCTCACCCCCGCCCTATTATAATGTTTTTCTCCTCTGTATGTTTGAAGTGATCAAGGGCCCAGGACCAAAAACTTTTTCAATAAATATGTCATATGTTTGCTTACGGCCCTTCTAAACCAACCCGTTGGGATTTTTTACCCAAGGTTTATAAAAGCCATTTTACTGATGGGGGGCTAGACATCCGTGAAAGAAAAACTCCCAAAGTTTTTACCTTTCCCCGGGAAACGAACCCGGACCCTCAGGAGCTTTAGCTCTGCAATTTTGTCTTCCTTTAAAAGGGGGCCCTTTGTGTACACAAAAACCCGCCTAGGCGAAAAAGCGATTTAAGAGAATCATCACGGCCTACATCCCTGGTTTTGAAGAGTCTCATTAAAATACTATCATTTTTCTTAGCAGAGTGGTTTATACATTACTGTGACTTTAAAATGAGATTCTCTGACATTTTACCCCAGGTCCTTTACAAAAAAATTTTTTTGCTCATTGTGAGTTTGGAATTTGTTTCATATTCGATCTAGTTTTTATTTATTCGGGTTTTTTATAGCTGAGTAATTGAAATTTTTTCTTCATTAACTTCATTTGCTTACGCCCCCCATTTAAAGATTTGGTTTAAAGTCCCCTTTAAGATTTTGTGAATTTTTCAAAACCCACAATTAATAGACACTGTGCACCATCCGGGTACCTTTTTTATTGGAAACGTTTCGCCCCAACCCCGTGGCTTCCTCATCCAGTGTAGGGAAAGGGGAGATAGGAGGGAAAATAAGAAAATAAGAAAGAAGGAGTAGGTTGGTAGACAGCAACCACCCAGGGGAATACTACCGTCCGCCCGTGACTGTGAAACAGAAACCGTAACTTTTTTTACAGATGGTAGGATTGCGGTTTCTTTTTCTGTCTCATAAACACCTAGATAACAGAGAATTTTTGCTACTTTTTCCCACTTACATTTTGGGCACCTTTACAGACAAACCCCATGCATAAAATATATAACTACACTAGGTTTTTTTTTTTCCTTTTTCTAATAGCTCTTGTTCTTTTTTTTATTTCTTCTATTGTCCATGGGAATGGAAAAGAATCTTTCCCTCCGTAAGCCATGCGGTCGTATGAGGCGACTAAAATGCCCGGGAGCAATGGGCTAGTAACCCCTTCTCCTGATACATTTACTAAATAGAGAAGGAGAAAAACCTTATAAAACTGGGATGCTTTAAATTGTGCGTGGATTGTAGTTGCGAATGACAAGAAACAGATGATTGCTGGATGTTATGAATGAAAGAAATTAGGATTGTCCTGGCTCTAAGCGAAAACAAAGCTGAAGGGGGTAGGAGAGTTTTCAGTTGGGGGGAAATAAATGGGATTAAATCTGAGTATCTAGAGAGTTAGAGCATAAGGAAGGGGTACAAGTAATGTTAAATGATCAGTTAGGAAGGAAAAAGAGAATAGAAATGTGTAAATTCAAGATTATGTGGATTAAAGTAAAGGTTGGATGCGAGAAGTGGGTCATAATAAGCGTGTAGATGTCACCTGGAGAACAGAGGGAATGCAGAGGAGGAGAGAGAGATTTTGGGAGATGGTTAAGTGAAAGTATAGGAGCTTTGAACCAAGTGAGGAGTAATTGTGGTAGGACCTGAAGCTAAAGTAGAGAAACTTTAGAGAGGTGTGGTAGTAAGTTTGGGTGGCCCGATGTGGTAGCATGATAATGGAGCGCCCTTTGATTGAAACGTTTAAGAAAGGGGTTTAGTTATAGGTAATACATATTTTAAGTG